TGTCTCCCAGGTGGGGCTGCTGGTGCAGAATGATCCCTGTGTGTCTCCCAGGTGGAGCTGCTCTTCAGTGGGGTGATGAAGTGGGTCACCTCCTGTATGTGAAGTGGCTTGGGAACATATCTCGTTAGAAACAATTGATTATTGTAGAAAAAGAGACTGTGGATTAGAAGATATAGTAATGTTTAACCCATAACAACCCAAAAATATTTAGTACAGCTATAATACTCTTTTGTGTAATGAATTGTATTGTACATCAGCACTTTTGAATATTTAGAGCAACTTATGATTTTGAGGATCTTGAAACAGCATTTTTACATAAGAAACGCCAATTGAAAACCATGGTCAGTATGCTGTGCACAATTTTTGTGACTTTTTGAAAAACAAAACTTTAAAAATTGTATTCCATTAAATCTCTTGTTGGTGCAGATGACTGAATTATAAACAGCATTTTGACTCATCCAAACTCTAATCAAGACAGTCGTTTCTGTCAAAATCAAACAAAATGACCTACATTTTCAAAATCAGCCTCATTGCTCATGTCCCTCTTTCGCTTTGTAAGCATGTGGTATTTTTAAGTAAGCAACATAAGCGCAGTGATATTTTATGAATTTTTCTACAAATAATCAGCCAAAAGGGTTTCCTCTGTATATATTCAATTAATAGATCCTGCGTGTATTCGATATTTTTCCTTATGTTCTCAACAGGAACCAGCGATCCGTATGTCAAGTTCAAGATCTCTGGGAAGGAAGTTTTTAGAAGCAAGACGATTCACAAAAACCTGAACCCCGTGTGGGAGGAGAAGGCCAGCCTTCTTGTCGACAGCCTGCGGGACCCCCTGTACGTGAAGGTGAGTGGGCCGGGAGCACTGGGGGATGTCCTGTTGTGTGGTATCGGCCTTGTTTTTCTGCCTTCCCTGTGGAGGCCAAGTTCCACCCTGACGTCAGGTGCAAACTGATTTTCAAGGCTTCTTCAGGAGGTTTCTCTTGAATGTCAGCCCGATGCAGGAAGGGCTGTTTTGCGATGAGATAGCTGGGCTCCCAGTAGCACATACAGTAGCTGTCACTCCTACACCCATTCCTGTGTAGGAAGCTGCTTATTCCCGGGAAGGTTTGGGGAAACCCAGAGCCTGATCCGGACACCACCCTGTAGGATCAGTAGTACCTGTCTTGGATAAGAAGCTGTTAGTGTCAGACGTGTTACACTGCGTACTTTTACAGCCTAGAATTGACCACAAGCTCCTCCTGGGGGCCCACAGGTGCTGTGTTGTAACTGGAGTTATTTGCCTCACTGAGCGTCTCTTAGGTCAAGTTTTAAAGAACCCTGAGCTGAAGGATTGTCTTTATTGGCTGATGACCATGTGGATGACCAGGGTTCTGGACTCATAACTGGAAGGTTGTGGGTTTGAATCCCAGGTGAGATGCTGCTGTTGTCCTGTTTAGGACAGCAGTGCTCCCAAGCTATTACAGTAAAATGAACTCTATGAAAGAGTGCAATAGCACAGTCTTTAAGCATTTAAGCACTGTAAATAAATCGGGCTGTGGGCAAGAACCGGCCTGAACGATCCTGGCGTGTAGGGAGCAGATGGTGTATTTAGTGTCATGTGTCTTCAGACCTCTCGCACACGGAGAGTCGGGGAATCGCCAGTGTCCTCTGACCCCCTCCCTGAGTCTCTCTCTGGACGTGTGTGATAATGGAAGAGTCACTCTGAACTCGGCCTGCCCAGCAGTCTGGTGACTGGACCCGCAGTGCAGTCTGTGATGCGGTTTGTTAAAAACAGCAGCCTCCATGCTCAGCTCAGAAACCCACTCGGCGATTCCTGAAGGAGCTCCTCTGACGTTGCAGTGGTGGTACGATCGGAGGCTGGATTCAAGACAGAGAGCCGGAGTTTTCCCTCATGCTGTTGCTGTTGCGCTCGAGAGTGTGGAACTGTTTCTCTCGCGGGGTGTGAAAATGCTTCCTGAGACAATTTAAATTATTTTGGATAGACATAATTCGTGGGGTGGACAGCCTAAAGTGTAATTCTGAAATATGAAAATAAAATATGAAAATAAAAATCGCTTATGAAAATAAAATAGCAGGTTCCACAGGGAAGCAGTGGTTTGCATTGCTGCCTCACACTGGGGTACTGTCTGCGTGGAGTTTGTATGTTCTCCCTTGGTTTGTGTGGGTTGGTTTCCAGCAGGTGCTCTGTTTGTTTCCCACAGTCCTAAGACATGCTAGTAGGTTAATTGGCTTCTGGAAAATTGGCCCTAGTGTATGCTTGTCCCCTTCGATGGACTGGTGTCCTGTCCAGGGTGTGTCCTTCCTTGTGCCTGGGACAGACTCTGACTCCCCCGCGTCCCTGAACTGGATACAGTGGTTAGAAGATGGAAGGATGAACTTATATTATCCCAAAGCTCTTCATGGTTCATCAGACAGCAAATGTATGACAGAAAATGTTCTCTGAACCTCTAAGGAAGAGCATAAGAAGAGGAGTCACAGTTTTTTCAGCAGAAGAGCAGCAGAGTGGTCTGTGGGTGACAGGGTGGGGAAAGAGGGGGTGTCCAGCCTACCTGCACCCATGGGTACCAATGTGCTGCAGTCCGAGTCCTGGCCAGTATAAGAACACACTGTAGAGACACCGCTGTCAGATGACGCCTCTGCTGTGCGTAGTGTAACCCAGAGCTGCTCTGTACTGTGTAGTGAGGTCTGTGCACACACACACTGCTTCCTGTCCGTCTGGCAGCTTTGCTGAGAAAGTCCTTCAGAGGGCTGTGGTGTTGTCTATAGAGGATGATCGATCAAGTCTGTAAGAACTCAGTCCAGTAGAGTCAAGACAGTGCACTGCCAGAGGGGGAGGGGAATACACACTGGAGATTAGCCTAATTTTCCACTTCTTCTTCAGGGAGTCTAGGGCTCAGAGTGCCACCTAGTGGACGTTGTGGGGGCACTGTTTGAGGAGATCACTGACCAGCTGGGGGTCTTGTTTTGGTTGCATGTAGCTCCTTCCAGCCAGCAACCCTTCTGTGCTCTTTCTGAAAGGGGCCGAGTCCCAGCTGCCTTAGAAACGACAAGGGATGTTTCTTATATTGCTTATTATTATTTAGATGTGTTGAAATTCATTTGGGGTTTATAAGGATCTGTGTATATAAATTAATTGTGTTATGACTTATGCATATTTAAGATTAAGATCACTTTATTGGCCATATACAATTTTCTTGCATTAGGAATTTCTCTTTTCGCAAACCCCAGCTTGCTCTCCATGAGACACACAGACAGGGAGAGAAGCTGGGGGTCAGAGCGCAGGGTCAGCCATTTATATGGCACCCCTGGAGCAGCTGGGGTTAAGGGCCTTGCTCAGGGGCCCAACAGAGTAGGATTCCTCTGCTGGCAACCTTCCAGCCACAGGCGCAGATCCTGAGCCACAGAGCCACCGCACCGGCCTGTACTACAGTACTCTGTAGTATAGTACCATGTAGTACTATGCACTCCATGGGTGACATGCTCTGCAGTGGTCGGTTCCACACCTGGGGTGCTGTCTGTGTGGAGCTGGTATATTCTGCTTGTTCTTTCTCAGGATTTGCTATGGTTTTCTTCCACAGTACAAAGACATGCTGTTGGGTTCACTGGCCCTGGTGTGAGTGTGTGTGCCTGTGTGTCTGTGTGTGCGCTAAGTCGCAGTGGCGTCCTGCCCCAGCTGTGTCCTGCCTTGCACCCGTTGCTTACAGGTATAGATACAGCTCCCCCAAGACCCTCTATTGAATGAAGTTTTTAGAAAATGGATAGATAGATGTGAACCAATTCAATTGGATAAATGTAATAAGATGTTGGTGAATGTATTTGCAGTTCTATTCAAAGTTGTTTGGCCATGACGGAATTTCCTATCGCATGTCATCTTGCAGAATCTCGAGGCCCAGAGCTCTCTCTGTTATTTGAAGTTCTTCTGACATTCAGAGTAACTCTGTCACTTCTCGCCACAGGTCTTTGACTACGACTTCGGACTGCAAGATGACTTTATGGGCTCAGCCTACCTCTACCTTGACACCCTGGAGCACAAAAGGTCCTTCTTCTCAGTACACTCGTCACATTCGTGTTGTTATGCCTTGTATTGTTATGCCTTGATTTATGAGTGGTGTTTGGGCCCCATCTGGTGGTCGTGTTTGGAATTGCAGGCAGAATCCCAGTGTAAAAAACTCGAGCGGAAGGTAAGGTCAGTGATTTTGTGCCTGGAGAAAAATCCACATTTTGCAGCTCTTAAAAAAATAAACAACTTCTTTATCAATTTGTCTTATTCCCTGGTCAAATTTGAATGCATTTCCTTTCACTGTCCACTTAAGTGCACTTTTCCACAGATATTTTTCTTTCCTTTGTGATTTCAGTTGTCAGTTGTCAAATCCACATGCTAGAAAATTAAATGTTGTTCTGTTTCATAATTAAATTTGCAGTGCATCTGTGGTTTTCAGCCCCAGAAGGAGCAGTGGTTAGGGCTCTGGTCTTGTGTTTGAGCAATTGTGAGTTCAACTCCCAGCTGAAAAACTGCTTTTGTGTCCCCTTGAACAAAGTACCTCTCTCATACTGCTGCAGTAAATGCCCAGGTATATGTGTAGGTCTTTGTTTGTGTTTTGTATAAGAGATTTTTTGGGTTAAGTAAAGAATTCATATAAAACTAATTTACATACTCTGTTCTGCAATGAGTAAGATTTGTCACTGAGGTGCTGTGCATAGTTTTTGTGAGTGACTTTTTGGGGACGTGTGAGAGATTCCTGAAGCACCGGACTGCACAGTGCAGCCTAAAGAAATGTTCGTCAAAGGGCCGTGTGCCCCAGTGACTGAACCAAAGAGCATCCCGGCGTGCAGCTGGAGCCTGGCTCCTCAAAGCCCATCAGCTGGCTGATTGGCTAAGTCAACAATGCTTTGAGAGAAACAAAATGACCCCAATGCGACTGTTTCTTCCCGCCCTCGCAGGACGACGGATGTGCTGTTAAAGCTGAAGGACCCCCACTACCCCGAACACGACCTGGGGACGCTGTCGCTCGCGGTCACCCTCTCCCCGAAAGAGGGAGACTTCAGAGAAGCTGTAAGTCCGCTGTCTGGGCTTGAGCTAGTGGGGGGCGATCAGCTCAAACTGGTCACTTGAACAGGTGAAGTAGAAAGCAGAAGCACAGAGACTGTCTGGAACCGACCTTGAATTGTTCCTTCTGCGCTTCTGATTGATAATGTATCAGTGTGACAGTCTGGGAGCTATCCTGCTTTTATACTTCTTAAGGTTCACGGATGACATCAGAAATTGGTAAGGTACTGCACAAAAGAAAACCCCAGCCGCAGTGAGCTGTGGCTGTGCTCTTGCTCTGCTGTAAAGGTGCTGTGGGTGTGCTTTAGCCCAGTGTTCATTGCTGTTAACTGAACAAGACTGGGGTCAGGGAGCCACCTCACTGCAGCCACTACATTGATCGGTGATCTCAGCTCAGCAGAACCTGTCCCTGGGGACCTGTATCGACCATTGAGGGAGCCCTGATAGTCTTGCTCACTTCTTCCACGAGCTATGAGCTTGTATCCAGGAGAGTAGCACAGCTTCGGCATTTAACATTCGTGCGGCGTTGAATTTACCAGTGTTTTTCGCCGGGAGATGCATCTGTTGTGTCGCGTGTTTGGACTGCTAAGCATGTCGTTTCTTTCCCAACAGAAAGCAATGTACAAAACCCACTGCTGGAGGCCTTACAGGGCAACAGTGAGTCCGCCTGCAGTAGACAGTAACCCTTCGCCCCTGCCCCTGCCCCTGCCCCAGTCCAGACCCCGCTGAGCTAGAGAGCTAGTGAGCCGTCTAGAAAACAGTGCAGAGCGCTGTCAGCACCTGAGACCCTGAGACCCTGAGACCGGCTTGAGCCACAGGGGTTTGATGGGGCTTTTTCGTCATGTCCAAGATAGGATCACTGATAAACCTGACTGATTTTATAGAGGTGGAAATGCTTTTCTTTATTATGTCAGTATTATTAAATGCCCTACAGAAAAACAGTAATACTGGAAAGCTCTGAAACTGGACTCATAATATTTAATTTGTACTAGATAAACCATCGTCATTGGTAAAACAAAATTATACATTTTATACAATTATAAAATCTCCAGTTATTGCAAAAACATATAAGATGATCACTCAAGGAGATGCATTTTGGTTGCAAACTCGTGCAGCTTTCAGCAATCTCAAACTGACAGTCAGAACTACTTTACAAAACAAAGAAACAGCTGAATTGCAACACAAACAGGAAACTAGCAACAGAAAATGCAAGAGAGCAGTTGGCTCTTCTGTGGCTTTGAGCTGTTTACCTTATATTGACATAAGTGCTGAATGCACAGATTGGGAAAACCCATCAGGGATTCTGTATGAGCAGTTGAAGAGACATGGTTGATGTGACCAGTGACTGCTTCATTACTTGGACTCACACCTGCTAGAGGGAAGGTCTGTCTTGATCTTGTCTGTTCAAACGGGCAGCTGTGATGAGGATATGATATTGCTTTCAAGTGCACTTTGCACTGCACAGCGGGAGACCTGAACTCCCAGGAGTGCAGACTGCAGCTCAGGAGACGCAGACAAGGACAAGGAGGGGTTTTGGAGACAGCAGGGGATGGACAGGGACGGGTTCGACCAGAGTCTGCTTGAAGCAAGAGACTGCAAATCAGTGGTTCAACAAATAAAAGGGAGCTGCAGCGCTATTTTGATATTTCGGGGTTAGAAAGAATCAGCATCGATGAGTGCGTTTCAAGCCACAGAAAAGTGAAACATTCTCATGCTCTTACGATTGGCACCAGTGAGAGATGTCAACTGAACAGCGATACCCAGATCAGTTTGTGTTCTAGGCCTCGGGCGTTCTCTGGCTGGTACAGAAGTCCTCTAGAGCTCACGATTAATTGGTCATTGATATCTGATACTGGTCAGTTATTTAATCTTTTCATTTTCTTTGCTGTGCAAAATTCAAGGCTTTTGCTTGCAGTAAACCATGATGAGGCAGACATCATCCAATGCCAAAGTAAGGCTTTGCTTATCTCCCAAAAGTGACAAAACACTCTGGAATGTCAGTGATGAGCGTTCTGCTTCTCAGTAGAATCTGCAATGGGCATCAGCCAGCCACATTGCAGCCAGCAGCTGCTGTATACACAACACTGCGAATCTGCAATGGGACTGTATTCCAGTCTTCCAGCTAAGTGACTGCAGACCCACCCAAATATGCTGGCGCACGTTTATGGAGAATACAAACATTTGAGTCTCACATACAGTATAAAGCTGTATTATACATAATGACACATTTGAAGATTCTGATATTCTGGCTTTGACCAAGGTTACCTGATACAGCTGTATCTGAGTGAGCCCCTGTACAGATGTCAGTGATTGCTGGCCTGTACAATAATTAAACCTGCTGCATTTTGCTGCCAGGAGGTTATTAAAAAAAAACTCCCAACGTCTCAACATTCAGACTCAACCTGTCTAACTGCTGTAACAGTACTGGGACATGATTTAAGGTGGTACAATTAAAAAGACAATGGCACAGTTGCTCACGATGCTTATTTTTACTTACTGATCAATCTGACACGCAGAACAAGTTTAGAATATTTTTAACATTGTCTTGTAACTTTTGTACCATTATTCAGCAAGCATATTAGTGCAGAGTAGACTGGGATTAAATCTCCTATAATATATATAATGGATTTTTTTCTAAGGCTGATGAGTGTCCTTGTCCTTGTTTAGGAACATGCATGCAAACTGCAGGAATCCCACAGGGTGAACCACCTCTGCGCTTACTGTACCAACATTTATTTCACAGGAAAACCTGTCTTGTGTTTTTAGCTGAAGAGCCCAGTGTCCTGGCTGAGTGAGTGGGCTTAGTGGTATGATTCGTGTTTGAGTCTGCGGGTGGAGACCGTGGGGAGCTCATTTAGCCCGTTGGGTTGAGTACTGTAGGCTGTTAGTAAAAGGACCCGCCCCCCTACTTAACAGCAGTACAAAGAACTCAGAATGGGAAATCAGAGCTTTTTTCCAGCTCATTTTGATTTATTCAAAGTGAATTGATTGTACTAATTGCAGTGTTAAACGGAGCGTCTGAAGAGCTGTGGCCAGTCTCACCTGGAGCTCAAAACTGACTCATTGCTGTTTCTTTTAGATTAAAAAATATTAAAGTGTGGAATTAATTATGGGACTAAACACAGTGATGCTTAAGGTGGGTTGTGTGACTGGGTACAGAAAGATGGAAATGCTCAAAACAACATGAGGAAACAGCGTTAGATTGTACAGCCGTTGGATTAGCATCTCCTATCTCTGGCCCCATCTGCTGGATAAACTTAAAATTTACAGTGGAACAGAGTGCTATAAAACTTACAGAATACAGCTGCTTGTGCAATGCAATTAAAAACTTCATCTAAAATTAAAAAAACCTTATCTGAAAGTATAATTTAGTTATACAAAACTCAACTGTATATTCATGTATTTCTACAGAATTGAGTAGTCACATTTTGTTATACGGCACAAACTGCTTTAAGACTCAAGAATGGTCCAAAACCTAGTGAGTTCTGTTGCGCAATAACAGGTAGAGCCGACATTGAAGGAAAAAAGTAGCGCCCCTATGAATGCTTGGCCTCCAAAAGCCAGTTATCCCTGTGGTAACATTTCTGACACCTCCTGCTTTAAAACCCCGAAAGCCAGAAGGATTGTGAGGCCCCTCTTTCACGCTCCGTATTCATACTGAAAATCAAGATCGAGCCAGCTTCTGACCTTCTGCTGATCAATGAATGAATTAAACGAGGACTAACTTCTAAGATCGGAGTAAGGTAACGTCTGCTCCCTTCAGTTCCTGAAGAGGAGGTCAATATTTTCCTGTGTGAACAAAGCGTTTGACAGTCGGAGGTGTCTTCGGTTAACCGATACTGAGAGACATGGGTTTTTACTTATTTCCAAAAGTCTGGTGAGGAGCTCAAAGGCTGAGTTTGCGTGTATATACAGTAGAGCACCTGGGCTCGTTCTACTGCTTCCGGGGAAGTTCCTTCACCCTCCTTCCTCCTTCCTCTTCCCTGCTCCCGTGCTCCCTGCTCCACACTCCCACTGCGGGATGATTAAACTGCTCTATTTCATTTACAGACCATGCTATTGAGAAGGAGTTGGAAAAGAGCGAGTAAGGTAATCAGCAGCATGCACAGTGCTTTTTCTCTGAAGGGAATGAAGTTAATGTGTGCCCGACCTGTGCTGAAAATCATTCTTTTACATCTCCTCATTTGCTCATACATTTTTATTGAGCTATTCATTCATCTTCTCCTCCAAGCTGTGATGTGTGACATGATTCCAGCTGCTTCATGAAAAAGCAAAGCCCAGTAATTCACTGTTCTTGAATGTTTTAATTTCATGCCAATCCATTTAGTTACATCTTGTTAAATTTGGAAAGTTGTGTGTCTGAGATGTCCACTGTCACTGTCAGTGTTGGTTCTAGCAACAGTGCCTGAACCAGTGTCCGTGTGAGCATTAGTGATCTTATCTTATCTAGTGTAACTGTCAGTGTCAGGGGGAGCTTTAGTGTCAGTGTGAGCATCAGTGTGAGCGTTAGTGATTTTATCTTATCTAGTGTAACTGTCAGTGTGAGCGTTAGTGTCATTGTGTGCCTTAGTGTCAGTGTGAGCGTCAGTGTGAGCGTCAGTGTCAGCATCACTGTGAGCGTTAGTGTGTCAGTGTGAGCGTCGGTGTCAGTGGGAGCGTCGGTTTCAGTGTGAGCTTTAGTGTGAGTGTGAGCGTCAGTGTGAGTGTTAGTGATTTTATTTTATCTAGTGTAACTGTCAGTGTGAGCGTCAGTGTGAGCGTCAGTGTGAGCGTCAGTGTGAGTGTGAGTGTCAGCGTGAGTGTTAGTGTGTCAGTGTGAGCGACAGTGTGTCAGTGTGAGCGA